TTTGACTCAGAGTCAGAATCTTAATCTGTATGTCGTTGTTCCTGGAAATAACTCAGAATATGTTTTGAGTCTAAAACCTAATGTATCAAAAGGACAGGGAGAAGGTAGAGAAGAAATCTTTTGATTTCATATCATTATTGCAGATGCATGTTGAAAACCATGGTTAGGTCACCAGTGAGTAATTGGAAGATATGAACTATATCTAACACAGTCCATTAGGATCATGATTCTTATGTCAGCAGCCACTAATGAAGGCAAGCAATGGTGACTAACCCATTCCCTATCTTCAGTCAAAACAATAGTTTCCAAATATCCTTCTGAATCTCAAAGCAAAACTTGAGTGAAAAGCATGAAATGATCAATACGTGGTTCCTATGTCACTTTTGCCTAGGAATATATACCAATCAGCACCATCAGTGAGAGAGAATGTATTCAAAGTTAGTCCCTGGCTCAGCAGGCTGACCTACAATGCACCTATAAGAACAAGGTAACCCTGAAGTGAGGACAGTGTGGCAAGGCCTAATCACATGTGGCTGCTTTAATTACTTCTCCTCTTTTCAGATGCCTCCATATCCTACAACATTTGGTAATCTAAAACCACTTTCTCCTCCATCATTTCTTCACTCCATCAGTGGCATTGGGGCTGCAGCTTTGTTCAATGAATTATTTTATGTTCCTTCCCCTGCCATCTGGCAATACTAACTTTCTAATAAATTGCTTCAACTTCAGCATTTTTTTTCTGATAAATCTGACTTTTAGTTGAATTGTGCAACATTCATAAATAGAAAATGCTAGCTGATTAGAATCAGTGAAAGCCCTTAGAGTTGCCAGCAAAAATAGGCTTTGGCTGCTGTTACTTAGCTTAATCACTTGAAAGCCACCTCTTGATTATTTTTGGAAAGAACTTTGTACATACACATGCTTATATCATCTGTTATGTGTGTATGTTTTTGAATTTGGGTGGATTCTTGCAAGCCAGTCATGCTATGAGTATAAATTTTACATACTTTTAGAGTCCAAAGTTAGACACTTGGGTTTGAATTCTACATCTGTTACCTTCACGCTGTGCAAACTGAGGTATGTGTCTTAACTGTCTGTAAACTCCAGTTTAAAAAATTAAAATCGATATAATAAAATCCTTGCAAGACTGTCATGAGGAATAAATGAGATGATATATGTGATGTACTTGGCACAGTGTCTTGGCAAATGATGGCTTGATAATTAGTAACTACTACTATCATGGTGATGGTTTAGTAATAGAAAATTATGTAGTACCATTTGTAGTCTCTGCCGACCTATAATTCTTTCTTTCTGAAAACTGCCACAGGGATGGGCCTTATAAGAAATAGTTTTATTATATGACAATACTTTAATAATTGGACAAGATTAAGGAAATATAAGTATAAGCAACTTTCCTTTGTTCATTCAGCCAATGGGTTTTTAACACAACCTAGCAGAATTTTTGTTCTGAAAGTTTGGATTAGGAATTGGTCCCCATTGGTCCTCTAAATTAAACTGTGAGGTGAATAGGTTTGGCAATGTGCATGCTAAGGCAATAAAATTTAGTTTGCATAAGGATATTGAGGTTCAGGAAGAGGTAGATATGGCTTTCACTTGATCTCAAAGAAAATAATGCATTAGCTCTGATAACATTTCACATGCATGAGAAAGCCTATTCCTTCTATCTGTGATCTAGCTAGGTTGCTAAAGACCAATCTACTTCTCTCTATTAATTACCCCTTTTTTGCTTATGACTTCACATAGGTTTCCACTGTGTTCAAACAAAAGATCTTTCCTGGCAGTGTTATCTCTGTGTATTGAGACTACCGGATCTCAGAGTGGCTAGGATGTCCTAAGCATTTGAAAGGTACCCAATTATTTTTAAAAAGTACTTTACACACACACACACACAAAATCCTTGCCCGTATGCTATTTTCAACTTTTGAAGAACATTAAGTATAAAATCAAAATCATCATATATGTATGAAAATCATATTTGTTATGGAAGAAAATAATTAAAAAGAAGTCATCAACAGTCCTGAGCTTACAAAGAAAGGTCATTTGAGTAGTTTCTAAAACCTAAGCAAGAATAGAGAGACCCTGACCCCTTTACCTGGTGTTGCACTGGATACAGTCGGCCACTGCTGATCAGGCCCTCCTGGACCAGCCCGTAGAATACCAGCCTCCTCCAGATGCACAGAGCTGAGTAAACATATAAACCCATATAACAGTTAGAGCACAATGCCTTTCCAACTCTCCTTCCACCCTCTGAAACTGCTTACATCGATGGAGGCAGGGCTGCAGCTAACACAATCTGCTCATGCTAGAACAGCAGCAATTATTGCTGAGCAGTCAGTCATCTTGCATAAACTGCAGAAGCGTCGCTGCCTTACTGCCTATCGTGCCATACTGGCGCTAAACATGTTCTGTCCTTATGGCAATTTTGGTTTTCACTAATGCCATGTGGTACTCCCTAAAAAAAACAAACAAACAAACAAACAAAAAACAGGAAGACAACAAGAGAGTGAATGCCATTTTAACATCTTAATGCTGAAGCAGACAAAGGGATTTTGTTCTCAAAGGCCCCAAGTTTCTCTTGCAAGTTCTCTTGTTCTGAGTTCTCCTTGGTAGGAAGAAAAATACACTAAGATTATTTGTAATATTATCAGTTTAGCCACCCAATTAATGTTTAACTTTGTTTTACTCTTTCTATATCTTTTATGCATTGAGAATCCACCTAACATTTCCTAGAATTAAGGAACCCAATCATTTCCTCGGCAGAGAGAATGTTATAGTCATTTATACATGTCTTCTGGTAATGCATATGACCTTCAAATATGTGAAGGAAGAAAGAAAGGGGAGGAGGAAGAAAGGAAAGAAGGAAGGAAAGGAGGATCCTAATAGTCAATATTCAAGAAAACTATCAAAATTAGAGGACACTTTAAAATTAGACATTTGTTTATCTTGTGCATTATGTTACTAAAATAAAACTTATAGTACTGACTGAAGGGGTTATGTGAGGCAACAGAGCAAGCAAACTTGAACTATTATAAGGAAAGGCAATCTACAAGTTCAAGATTCTCCTACTCTTTGACTTTAAAAAATACATCTAGTGGAAATTCACTCATTAAGCTCTAACCTATCAATATTATTTCCCTCATCTTTGACCTAGAATTTCCTTCTTTCTCTAAATATTAATATCCTTCAGGTGTTCTTGAATTCCATTAACAAGTCATATGGACTGTATCAGACTCAAAAAGATGTACCTATCCTGAGATCAGTTCAACTCAAAGCAGAATTTTTAAAAGAAGAGTTACACAATGTTTAAGGCTGGAAAAATTAAGAAGCCAAGCATATGTGTAGAAAAATAAGCATTGTTGAATAATATAGTACGTTATGGGGTCCGGGGATTTAGCTCAATGGTTCTGTCACCTGCCTGGCAAGCACAAGTTCTGGAGTTCGAATGCCGGTACCAAAAACAACAACAACAACAAAACTACATTGTGGGAAAGAAATGGCATTTTAGTTTCAATTTTGATTTCATTTCTTTTATTTAAATCTCATAATATTTTAATTAAAACCTGAATAGATGTACATTTTAAATGTACATAGAAGTAGATGTTTTTCATTTGAAAATGAGATGAAGTAATATATTTAAAATTTTTATTTTAAATGTAGTTTTTAAGGTGCATCTCATAGCTTTCATACTTTTTAAGTAAAGCACTAATTCAGTTGCAAGACTTAAGAGTCAGTACTGTACAATATGCTTTCACCCACATGACTGCCAATAGCTCAGATACAGACAAAATTATATTTGTCTCTAGTAAGTATAATAATTCTTTCTCATGTCTAGTATCCTAGCATCTGCATGAGTGTTTCTGGTCTGAAATAATAACCTAGGTTCTAATATGATCTCACCAAACCAACTACTAATCTTCAACATTTCCCTTCCTCTATTGCTTCTGGTTCAGAAATAGCATCCAGTATAGTAATTTCTGCTCACTTGCAATGCTTTAAGGGGTGTTAATTTATTTAAATTTAATGAATTTTTAATGGGCTAACACTAATTTTTCATTAAGTCTGCATATACTCTATAAACTCTATATATTAATCTGGTTTTGGTGAAGATTCAAGTAATAAGTGCCCAGATATTTTGAGAGTTCAAGTCTGGAGTTTGTTTCTTCTTTAAATAAATCCTTTTTGTAGTATCAGTAATTAGTTTCTTGACACAGTCCCCATTTGGTTTCCAAAGACAGTCATAAATAATCTTTTATTTGATCATATGGCACAGATACAAGATCAGTTCTAAGAATAATGGTAGTTCATCAATTACTGTCAAGGAGACAAAGTAGAAAAAGAAAAATTATATTAAATTTGAGTCTTAGAGCCATGCTATTACTCTAGACTAATTTAAAATAAGCTAGATTTGGTCTCCAGATACTTAAAAAAGGCCATTCAGATAACTCATCTTTGAAGAGCCTATGCCATTGATGACAATAATATGACAAAAAGATAAGATAAGGAGCTTCTAATAGATGTGAACATGAACAAGAAAAACAATCAATCATTGTTCTTAATAAGATGTGACAGTGTGAGACAAAAATCCAAGATAAACATGTGTATATACATTATATAATGTCCATAAGCTTATTTATTAATTACAAACCTTAGGGGAGAGGATGAAGAAAGTTGGAATTATTTCCTTGTAAGAAATCTTAAAAATTTTAATTGACACATCTCTGTAGAAATTTTGATGAAAGAAAATACACAGAAACCTGTCCCTATAATTTTACAGGGGACTCTTTTCCAAACATTTGATAAACATTTGGCAGTTACCACTTCCAATTGTTTCAAGGAATAGTTATGAAGACAAAAAATAATTGCATTTGCCTGGCAGAGTATCTAAGGCTTCTCAGTTCCAACAGCTGATTCTGGCCTAGGGAGATTCCATTTATCTGAACCATACCCAGTTAAGTGAAGAAAGGAGGAGGGAAACATATACATACCTGTGCATGCCTGCTCTCAGGGAGGCAGAGTAACGCCAGTCAGGGTTGGGCTGTCGTGGCTGCAAAAATCACAAAGGGAGTTTTCTGTTAAAATGGCAAAACATTGTTCCCTGAGGGATGTTGTTAATTGATTAGTTGATCAGTTATTCCTTTAAATATTTTCAGGCATCTAAACAACAGCATTGAATCAGACATTTCATATGCAGCTTCAAGATGACTATCTATCATCTGTCTGTATTAGCTTGGGGAGAAAATTAAATTAAGCTCACACACACTGAATGCCATGGAAAACTGGATTTAGCAATAATGTGAGGGCCAGCTTTGGTTTGTCTTGACCAATGCAAATCTGTGTTCTTAAGGGAAGGGCAGTCTATCTTGAGGCAGAAAAAGCTTTGTTTGTTTTGTCCTCGAATGCCCCACTAAGGGCACATCCTCAATTCAGTATTCTAGCTAGAACAGACCACACAACTACACAAATTCTGCTGGCCTGGCTGGACTGCAATCTCCTCCTGGCTTTGCAGACTGCAGCATGTTTGACTCAGGATGGAAGTGCCCAGTCATAACACCAGCGACTGATAACAGCTTCCATTTACTGAAGAGGAGTACTAGAAAGAGGAAAATAAATCACTGAAGAGTTTGACCTTGTTTTGGTACCTAATCATTTTCATAAATTGTACTTGTTCCCCATGCTGTTCTGAGTGCTTTGCCTTCTTCCTCAATTACTATTCACCAAGCTCTAATTGCTTAAGAGGGAGTAGCTGAAAACTGATAAGACTCTGACTGTATATACCACCTGTATATTGGAAGATTTTTTTCTTTTGCTCCTTGTCTAAAAACTATCAAAGTGGAGGGGACAAAGAAGAAAATAGGGGCATCTAATACTTCTTTAGGGAGTTAGATGCTGGTTAGAAGCTATTCTGAATCACCCAGGATGAAAATTATATAATTATATCAATTAGCCCAAATTTTACTATGAAAGATTTGTGATAGATAATCCTCTAAATATAGTTTCAAGCAGAAATTAAAAAGGTCTTGTCACTGAATACTAAAGTCCAGGTGAGTGGAACAGAAGGGATGGAAATTGTATTTCGTATTTCCCTCTGAGTTATAATTATCATATTGGGTACACTCAAAGTCAAATGCCTCATAAACTACTTCAAAGTGCCAATAATTGTTGTTTCTACCATTCTTATAGTTCATTTAAGGGATATAATGGATTTAATAAATATTCTTTTTTTTTTTTTTGGTACCAGGGATTGAACTTGGGTCCTTGCACTTGCAAGGCAGGCTACTGAACCACTGAGCTAAATCTCCGGCCCTAAATATTCTTGTTTATAACACCGAGGAAGTAATCAGCATTCTAACTTTCCAAGAGATTTAGGGATGGTGAGATGGGTATCCAGAGACTGAGTCAAAGTCAAGCCTCAGAAAAAGTTACAACTCTGGGATATATTATCTCAAAGGTCCCTATATACTAACCACCCTCTCTAGTCTTCTTTCACTGTTAGTAGGGTATGAATATGCAAACTGTTCCATCCTTGTTTTCCAAATTCACAAAACCCTAGGGATGGTCCATACAAATAAACACAAAACCATCTACAGCCAAGTGAAAGGGGGATTCCCATTTTCTAATAGTGGTAATAGAGGCAACAAGAGATACAATTTGCAAATCATGTTATAAACCTGAATGACAAATACTTTTTAAAATCATTATCATCACCATACCCGCCTTTGACATCAGCAATACTAGTATTAGCTTGTCAGCTGAGAGAACGTTCCTTCAAGAAAGGATATCTGTTAAGAAAATATTACCAATTTCTCTATGATTAGGTAACTTGATCTTTGGAATGAAACCACCAACCTCATTTTTCTGAAAAGCACAGTTCTATCAGGACTGAACAGGAAACTCAGTTCATTATGTAATCTCACTTCTTAAATGACACACTTAATTTGTCATGCTGCTATTTTCTATAATAGTCCATCAGAACCAATATGCTTCTCAGAATTATTTACCAAAATCACAGTTATAAGATTTCATATGGCAGTAAGATCAGACAAGGAAAAGGAAAGGAAGAAGGTATTAATACATTTTAGGTAGCCATACAATACTACACAAGGAACTAAGTACTTCATAAATACTACTGCATTTATACTATTTCTTTCTTTGTCAGGCCATAAATTTTATGAAAGGAATGGTATCTCTTTTGCTTGTAAGACATACTTATTCACAGTTTAGCAGTGTTCTGGTATTTGGAAAATTTTTTAAATCTTTATTTATTTGTTTATTTTACAGAAAAGTTAATATATCTTTGTTTTAAAGACTTCACTTTTTTATATTTTTAACACAATCTTGCTACATAGTCCAGGCTAGTCTTAAAATCATTATGTAGCTCTTTTGCCAGAAACAAACTCACAAAGATTCTCTTAGCCTCCCAGAGCACTGGGATTACTTACAGTTGTGCACTACCTTGCCCAGCTCATACTCTTTTAAAGCAGTTCATGGAAAAATTGAAAGGAAGATACAAATAAGCATTTTAAATAAATGAACCATCTTGCAAGATTAACATAGTGAAATTACAAAAATGAAAATTCTGAGTTTTAGAAAGATTAAATTATTTGTAAGATTGGTAAATTTAGCTGAGAATCATGTTAAGGTCCAACATAAAAGTCCATGTTTTAAATAAATGTATACAGAATAACATTTTCCTTTTTTCTCTGTTTTACTTCTGAGTGTCATCATTATTTTATTCATTCATTTCTGTATTTTAAAACAATGCAAAATTAAGAGTAATCTATTATATGTATTGTATTATCCATATGTAGGTTTCATCCAGAACTTGATTAACTTGGAAAAATTCAGCCTGAAAGGTTGAGTACTGATACATCTGACAAGATGTATTTTAAGACCTTGGACTATGATTAGTTTTCTGATATTTGGATCATACATCTCAGAACTATGCTTAATTTCTATTGGCTAAGAATCCAGGTATATTCTTGTTGTTTCAAAGCTTATTCTGTTAGTAGATTAATAGCCACAAATCTCAAATATCGTAAAACTCAACTAGGCAATCCATATGGTTGATGTTGTCTTATTGAAGAAAAAGAGCCCACTTGTGTTTCTATTAAAATTATAACAAAGATTTAATTTATCCTGCAATGGGGTTATTTATGATTTGTACCATAGGATAGTTTAGCTACAGGATAGCTTGCTTGTTCTAAGATAGATTTAAAGTAAAATAGATTAAAAATATCCTATGTTATTTATAAACTCACAGGACTGCTCAGTGAAATAACATGCTATCTTCTTACCATGGAGATCCATATTAAAGCCATCAATAAATTGTTCTCTGAGACCAGACACTATAGGTAGTATCTCTTCTTTCTTCATAATAGGACTCTATTCAGAATGTACCCACTGCAGATTTTTCATAGTGATATTTTTGTGAACTTGGATATAAACCAGGTTAGATCAGAATTCTAAGATGTCTCCCAAGACTCCCACACCTGCTGTACATACCCTGCATAATCTGTACAGCTATGATTCTGATGAATCTTCTGCCATGATTATGTGATGTTTATTTACTCAGTTATCTTTAACAAAGGGAAATTATCCACGTGGGGCTAACCTAATCACATGAGTCCTTTAAATCTGAATCAGGGTCAGAAAGAGAAATCAGAGGATTCTAGTGAGCAAAGATTCTCAATTGCCAATCCTGAAGATGGAGAAGGACATAGGACAGGACCTGAAAGAAACGTGTAGGACTCTAGAGTGACCCTACTCCCTAGCCAACAGTAGGTTTAAAAAAAAACTGCCAACAATCTAAATGAATTGTAGAGTGGATTCTTCCCCTGAGCCTCCAAGATAGTATTCAATGCAGCTGACATGTTGACTTCAGGCTTATTAAAACTTGAACAGAGAGCTCAACTACATGGTGCAGGGACAGTAAGATACTAAATGAGTGGGGTTTTAACCAACAATAGGTGATAATTTGCAACAAAGCATGAGGAAAAGAATACACTTAAAGCAAAACAATATAACAACTCACAAGGAATGTAAACATTATGTGCTATACAAAATAATAAAAAGTCATTGCTATATTACAGACTGGTCTTCAAGTAAACCAAAATGAAAAGATGATAAATTTGAGGATTCTGAACACAATTATTTACAATTCTAATCCTCTGAACAGGAAAGCAAAATAAACAACTTTGGAACACACCTAATGGGTTCTAGGACAATAGAAAGTACTAGGTCTGCTTAATTCGGGATATACAGCGTGCTAGCAGAGCTGCTATTCTCATTCACAGTTACATTTCTCTGGAGCCTACAGTTCAGGCCCTGCAAGACCACAAGAGATTTCTATTCATCTGTGCAATGTCAGTTATTTCTTTGCATTTCTCAGGTTCAAATTCTTGAAAGAAAACGTTTGTATAGTTTTCAGGTTAGCAGATGAAACACTGCTAAGAAATCCTCTTAATTTTTGAAATTATAGTTCTAGGTTACACTAGTCAAAATATTATCCTATGAATCAATTAAATTTGCGTTCATATTAAATTATGCATGGAAACATTGTTTCAGGTAAAGTCCTGCAAAAGTCACAACGAAACCTGTAAAACTCCATTTAATTCAACTACACCCCTGGATTGGTGGAGATTTTTCCTCAAACATTTGAAAAATCTTTCTTACCTCTTAACGAGAGCAAAAAATGGTAGCCAAGCAAGGCAAATATCCAGAACTAACTCTGCTACTCAATCAAGCAGAGAGCATGCCAGTAGACAATGTATGATATGCCAGGCTGGGCCCCTGCAGAGTGTTCTGAGTGAGACCAGATGCCCAAGTGATGGCTCACTCCAGGGTCAGAGGAAAGGGTAGGCCAATGACATTCAAACCACAATAAATAGATTTTTCTGTTAGTCATGATATGTGCAAGATAAAGAGACAGAAGAGTTCTGTCACAGTTCCGTCTGGCTCTAAGCTTGTAGAAAGGGGAAGGAAATAATATGAAGAAATTATTACATTACAAAAATCAGAGAAAACAAAACTTTTTCCCCCATAAGA